GCTGCCATGTGTACCAAGTTTTATGATATTCCATATTATAAATGCCATGAATACGTTTGTAAAGAGCAATACTTCAATACTAGAGAGCAGTGAAGGTGACTGCTCACTTTTTTACCTCCTTTGTCTAAGTGAAACCCACATGGCTTCTTAAGGGCAAATAAGGGGGGTTTGTCCCGCTTCTGACTTTGGCTCTGAGTATGTTGTGAATAGACATGAATAGCAGGAACTCGAGGCCCCATTTAAACTATTACATTGCAGTGACCCCCGTAGTACATTAAGCACAGTGCAGTTTGTTGCAGTAGCTCTAATGGTGTCCACACACATTTTACCCAGCAATCCTATCTATAAAATACTAAATTTAATCAATTGAAGTAAAATAAAGTATTTGCATAGTTTGGAAAACATTCAGTCATTGTTCAGAGTTGTGGGGTGTTACATAAATAAGCATTTGATTTTGTTCGGGTAAATATTATACAGAAGAAAAAAAATTACTGAAAATTTAAAGAAAACAACTGCAATTTAAAGCAAAATTTGGATTGAAAAACAATTGGAAAGAAAAAAACCAGCAAATACCGGTGAGGCACAATGAAATGATTAATACTAAATACGGTTTAACATTTGAACCAAATCCCCCAAAAAACTGATGTGTGTGTCCAGCATTAGTGCTAGTGGCATTACAGTGTTGCCTCAGGACCAGGATACATAAGAATGGTCTTGAATTTAAAATGATTAAAGTGAATCTTAATAATAGTTGAATATTTAAAATAGTTAAATGAGCAGCACCGGGGCTAACTGCATATATTTTGAAATACTTTGCAGCTTGCCACAGGAGTCCAGAAACCTGGAAAGTCCCTTTATGAGAATTTAATTTCATGGACCAAGAGCCCGACAGTGCCAGGAGAGAGGAGGGGACCCGGTGGCATACCTCATCCCGCCGGGTGAAGTCCCTTCCTCTCTCTGTCAGTGTCCATCACCAAAATGGCCGCGCACGCGCGACCATCTCGGTTGACAACACGGCGGGATGTCAACCGGTCTCCAGACCGGGTGACACCCAACCTCGGGGCGCCCCTGCTATCACGCAAAACAAATGTTTATGAAGCAACTGAAAAACAATATGCCTGTATTCTGCAAAAGATGAATGATTAGGCCGGCTGGAAAATTTGGGGTAATTTCTTATTGATTTCTGTTAAAACTGCAAAAGGCTAGCATGTCTACAATGCACTGCCAGGAGTTATTGAGCAGTTGGCAAAGCGCTTTTAAATGCCCAACACAATTCAATGTCCCTTAACCACACCTGAGCAGAAAAACGCCATGGACTACAATCTCATGTTTAGTTTACTCATTTGTATTGAGATCATATTCTATCACAGGAGTGAGCTTGGGGCGGTGACTACTTTGCAACACACACAGGGACCATAAGGAACAAAAGTAGCCACCCTCCAGAAGGAAGGACAGTGTCAGCAACAATTCAGAGATGATTTCAGCATCTACAGCGGGGTGATACACAAATAAGATACATTTTTTTTTTATAGTTAAGATACTTGAATATATTTTTATGATTTAACTCATTAGTTTAGTGTCACTTTAATGAATGGTATCATATTTACCTGTACTGTACTTGAAAGAAAATATGTGCGTTTTTTATCAGATTGCAGGAAACTCAGCTGATTCTATCCAGTGTGAACTGATATAAAAGCTTTAAACCACATGGAACCCTATACGAGAACACTGATGATAACATGTTTATGTATGAAAAACACATAAAAACCGAGAGCAGAAAATATTTATTTTTTTTGCTACTTCTTTTAACATTCCCCTACTTGCTTAAGAAATCTAATAGTGTGGATGAAGCAAACATAACCTACGAGGAACAATTACACTGTGTACATGCTCATAATGAA